AGGCGTTTATGCCGAGATTTCACGAAGCTCCATTACCTTTGCAAAGCCATGCACCTTTTTGATTTGCAACTTGAGCTGTGCAAGGGAGGGATGTTCCTTTCACAGTGGCACAATCGCCCTATCAAAATCCGTCAGAAAGCGGTCAGAAATCACCAGAATACCAGGGCGTACACGTCATTGACAACATGGCCGGTGGGATCAATGACACGAAAGTATTCGTCAGTCACCAATCTTTGGGCACGATCCTTTTCCAATTCCAAGGATTTCACGAGATCAATTGGCGCCAGACCTGTTGACCAAACCAGGAGCCCGTATGGAACCTTGGTGTCGTCGTTCAAGATTATATGATCCTTTTGAACCTCCTTGACGCTGGTTCCTAGCCGAAGTTTGATGCCCTTGCGCGTGAAACGCTGGGCGGCATAGTCTCCCAATTTTGAGTCAAACGCGTTGAGAATCGATTTTCCGACATCGTATATCGTCATCTTTACGAACTTCTTCAAGTGCGGGTAGAGTTCTAGAATCTATGAATGTGTTTAAAGCGACGAATCCTCTTAAGGAAAAGAGCTCACATCTTCGGTGACAAAATCATGCAGCTCAGCCATAAACTCGACACCAGTTGGGCCACCTCCGACAACAGCGAAATGAAGAATATCCTTCTTTTGAGAATCCGTCTTGTTTGGTTGAGATGCCAACTCAAAGCCTATTGGCCATTAGATGGATTTCAGTATAAGGTGAGATATTACACTCCATGATCCTTGTTCTGATTTTTCTTGCATCGTTGACGTCTTTCAGGAAATAGGCGTGTTCCTTAACCCCCTTGATGTTGAAAGTGTTGCTGATAGCCCCCGCTGCGATCACAAGCGAATCATAGTTGACTTGGAATTCATCCCCATCTTTAAGAGTAGATTGACAGTAGAGGGCTGAATAAAGCCGTTAATACTTCTTGCTGGTTATCCACTGAACGCACTCTTTGATTTCAGATCGATGGACTTGCAAATCTGCGTTGTGGGGTTAGCGGCGAGTTAAAGGAGCAAAATACCCACAGCTTCAAAGAAATCAATATGAGGTGCATGCTGTTTGAGAGGCTCGGTGACGCTTTTCATGTCAAATCGAAAGGATCGCGAGGTCGTTTGCCTACCATCTGAATTCTAGCGTCCCAACCGAAGTGGAAGCCAACAGAGGTGTAAAGACGAAATGATTCCTGGGGCTGATCGTCACAACATCATACGCCTAGATCCTTGTAAGCAAAGCATCGGGAGAAAGAATGTCTGCTGAAACCTTTTGATCAAGACCCTTTGCGATACGAAAGCCAGCCCACCCAGTCCCTAAAGAAAAGCGTTAACATGCAACGAAATAAGACGGCCCTTACCCAACACGACAATTCTTCCTTTTGGTTTGCCCAGAATAGATGCCATCGTGAACAAAGACCTGCAGTTGCAAAGGGTTTGAAGGCGTCTGTTTTATAACCAGTTGGGCCAAAGATTTCAGCCCAGCTCACACCCGTTCTTCTCCGAACTTGTCCGCTTCCCAAAAGACAATTTCTTGGAGAATATCAAAATGGAACACTCGTCGGGCGAGGAAGACGTTCTGCTGAATAGGTTCCTTTCCAAACAACGGCCATCGCTGTCCGATGCATCCCAAGGCTCCTTTGGGAAATCCTACGAGTCCATCCTGTCGGGTGCGGACCCTGGTCTTGGTAGACCTCCACCTCAAAACAACTATTTTGGTGTCCAACTCCCAACGAATCCGGCAAGGTATGGCTCCCATTTTCGCAAACCTTGATGCTGACACCCTTTAGTTCTATTCCCCAGCGTCAGAGCCAGCCACAGGTTCCCAGTAGTCCGACCAGAACATTTGATCGCACTACATTTTCGGAATCAAGTCCTGGGGGCCATAGCCACTACCAGACCCATGTGGACATTGATTACAACAACATGGGCCAAGTGATAGGAGCCGTCATGAAGCAATCTGAAACCATCCGGAAATTGCAGCAGGCTGTGAATGATCTGGAAACAACGCGTCAACAGGCACCTCCGAATTCCCCTCCCAAATGGAGTGAGCTGAAAAGAACTCTGGCTTCGAAATCCAATTTCGCCGAGGTGGACGATTTGAGGTCAAAGATTAGATCTCTGGAGGAGCAAGTGCAAACCATGAGCCGGAAAGAGACAAAGCGGCCATTTACACCAACGGATGTGAAGGAAGCTTTGAAAATGCTGGAATCGGAGGACGACCTTTCACCTGGAAAGACTGTGAATATGGACTTAAAGTTTCAAGAGTTTTCAACCAAAATTGAGAAATCTATGAAAGATCAAATCCAGAACATGCTGAAGAAATCTGTGGATCATCTTCGGACCGATTTGAAGTCGGATTTCACCAATCTGGTGGGAACGACCCTGTTGTCGTCTCATACCAAGGAATTACCTCCAAAGGCTGCCTATGACCTACTTCAGGGATCGAGGTCTGACTATATTGAGTTTGGGAGGATTCGCGAGCTCTTGGCAGACCTTCAAACAAGGTGTTCGAGTATTGAGTCTCAAATGTCTGGGCGGAATCAATACCGCACAAACGGTACTGATGCATCTCCCATCCGACAAAAAATTTATAGCCTTGAAGCCACAGTCTCGAAGGCCCTCAAAGAGTTTGAGACTCTAAAGTCTGATTCCGATACCTTGAAAAAGACACAGCTTGACATGTTCACACTGAAAAATGAGCTCGGTGAGAATCAGTCCTGTTTTAAACAGTAACGAGCAACTGGCCCTAACTTTAAATTTTGCAGAGCGCCTAAAAGCCAGAACTTTAAAGGATGTGAAGCAGGCAATCGGCAAAACAGAGGAATTCTCATTGGCGCTCCAAGAATGCCGAAATGTCATCTCTAGTCAGTCGCAGAAAGAAAGTCAATTGTCTGTTGAGCTTTCGAAAGCTGTCAAAGAAGTGAATTCCTTAAAGGTACAACTGGCTGAGAGAAAGACTGCGGAAGAGGAGCTTCGGTCGAGGTTGGAGGCTCTGGAAAAGGTCCAAAAGGGAGTGGTTGAAACCATCACTGATATTTCAGAGGCTGAAAATCGCGTTCAGAAGCGAATCGACTTTCATGCTGTTGCCGTTGAGAATCTTCGAAAGGAACATAAAAACATGAAGGAAGAACAATGGCAAAAGCAAAGCCAGGCGCCGATTGCTTTGGCGAACCTCAAGTCTGATGTGATGGAAGAGGTTGCAAGAGTCGAAAGGAACATTGATCAAAAGGTTGATACGGCTGTTATCGAAGAGCTGATGCGGCATCTTGCCACCCGAGATGAAGTATCGAATCTTTTCAAAAGCATTACGCGAGACATGAATGTGGAAGGTCGAATCAAGGATTCTCTGCGGCAAGACATTACAGTGCATATCATGCAAGAAGCTCGGCACAAGATGGGTATTATTGCCGATTCCCTCTCTTCCACTCTGTACGAAAAACTTTCGCAAGAATTGAAGGTTGATCTCTTTAAGCTCAAAAGGTCGATGGCGGAGAGCTTTGATAATGTTCCCAAAAACGATGATGGCTCAATGGAGCGGTTTGTCGCAGAGGTGAATTCGTTGAGATCCAAATTGGACCGGCATATGAAGGCATGCCGCGACGAAGTCTCAAAGATTTCCCACTCTGTGGCAAGCATACGTAACGACCGATCCGTCAGCCCCTCTATCGAAAAGAAAGAAGCACCGCAGCAGCTGTCCATCGATCACATACCGGCGGAAGCTGTCAAGGAGATTTCACAGTTGATCTCTCGAGATTTTGACGAAAAGTTTTTCTTGCTGTGCTCGGATCTGAGTGCATGCAAGTCTGCTTACCAGATGGCAGCAAGCCAGCCATTCTTCAAATGCGGTCAATGGATATGGAGGTCCAACCAACTCAAGAATGGCTCGGCCATCCCGTGGAACTTTGAAACCGCCAACACGGATCCTGACAACTTCAAATGGGAACAGGAACAACCATTTATTCGCGTCGCCGAGGCTGGCCTATACGAAATCACTTTTGCCTTTTTCACGAAATCGCGGCCATCCATTCAGGTTGTCGTGAATGGAGAATCTGTGATGTCGGCCATCAACTCTCCGACGTATGTCGTTCACCATGGGTCAGGCTTTGTTCATGGTGGTGAAGGCAAGCTTGAGCAGGGCTGCGTCACAGGAATAAGCCTAATGGTAAGACCGTTTCTTCTTTGATGAATCGGACTTTGTTCCTGGCCATGGTTTGCTGATCTGTATGTTTAGGACTTTTTGGCTCTTCCCGCGAAGTCAACCGTTGCTCTCCATTACCACGCAAACAAGAAAATGCCTATGTGCCATGGATTCCTGGGATTAAAGAGATTGTGACTTTTATAGATGTACATACAGATAGTAGATGAATTTGGTCCTTTGATATCCCTGGATTTTTGAATTTTATGCATTTTCGCTTGTATCTGAATGTCTGACGCAGTGAAAGGAACATTAGTCTTTTTCAATCTCTCCTTCAGATCTGATTTTGAGCCTGAATTGTTACCACGGCGTTCGCATTCAAATAAGCTACAGAGGAGACTGTAGTTGGCTCTCAGAATGGATGCGCCACAAAACACTGCTAATCCAGCACGTCAAATGAATTATCAACGATCATATTTCTCTTTTTAATCAAATGTTTAATTTTACGAAGTGTGGCCAGAAAAGGGAAAGGGAGACTATACAGCTTTTACCATCATCTCCTTTTTTCATCTTATCTTTTAGTAGGAAACAACCCTGAGCTATAAATCTATTCCAGTCACCTATCGCGAGAAACCCCTCATTTGAATAACAAAATGCTTCTATTATGTCAATAGAAAGAAGAGAGTTTTTGGATACAAAATCGCAAATCCACTTGGGGCGTGGTGCGAAGGTTATTCTGTACGTTTTTGGGTAAAAAAGGAATAAGTGGATTCTAAGAGAAAAAAAAATCAAGTTCGTAATCCAGAAAGCATAGCTAAAATTAGGGCTTTTTTGAATTTTCGATGTGATTTGTTGAGCCTTTAGTCTAGTGGTATGATACCTCTTTCGGGTAGAGGAGGTCCCGAGTTCGAATCTCGGAAGGCTCCATCTTACTAGAAATTTTTTTTTTTTTCTGGGAAAACCCCACGGTTCAACTTCGGAAACCAAAGGTTTTTGACAAGTCCTTCTTTCTTCATTTTGTTTTTTTTTGTTCTCATTCGGTTTCTTTCGGGAATCCAAAAAAACTTGCCGTGAAATCCACTTTATTGAAAAGCTTGTTTAACTTTCAAGCCACACCGTTTCTCCAAACACTCCTTTCATGGTCTCTGGCCGTAATTTCAAACCTTACAAGTCACTGAACACGTTCTACATTCTACGAATCTTATTTTAATGATGTCATCTAAAGTTTCGGACGCTGGCGCTTCCTGACGTTCCAGCCAAGAGAAGACACGAGAGCCTTGAACCAGTCGGCAGATGAATCTTCGCGACAGATGGTTGAAAAGGGATACTTTGCAGCACGTATCAGGACAGAGTCCCCTGGAGCGAGTTCGAGACGTTCTCTGCCGTCCAGAGATATCTGCTTTGTATTTGATTGTCAGAGTTGATCAAAACAGGAGGAGAAAGAAGAGGACTTGCCCATGCAGATGATCTGGTATCCCAGGCAACACATAGTCGTAGATCCAAATGTGGAGGTAGAACCATTGGGCGTGTTGTTAGGGTGTGAGGGCAGATGGGCGTGACTTTTTTTTGTTTTTGACATAGAAGGAAGGGATACGTTAGAATGAAAGGCTCGAAAAAAAGCAGCTCACCTAGGATGGATGCCTTATCGGGGTGTACTACAAAAGAATCAGCACTCCAAAGATGATGTGCGTGGCAGCACGGTAAAGAGCAAACCTAGTGAACCTCCAGCGCTTAGATTGTAAGCCGTGCTACCTGTCGGTGTTGCAATAACCAGTCCATCCGCCAAGAGTGTTGTCAAGTGTACGGTTCCTGCACTTTGAAACATCAAGCGTGTTAACTTCTGGTAATGGTACAGTGAGGTACAAACAAGAGCTCCAAGGTCATCATGGTTGGGTTGGCACCACGATCAATCACGACCTTCCAAAAAACAAAAAGTCAAACCAAATGGACGGAAGAATGGCCTAAATACCTCATTGAGAACATGAGCCACGACTGTTGGCGGACTAGTAGGGGGTTCATAGCTGATGGTATTGGAACTGCTGGCAAAATCTCTTCCGTGTTCTGCTGACGACGATAACCCGCCTTTTTCTCCAGTGTACTTGTATAAGGACGCCTTTAGCCGCATGCGATAATTCAAGCGTTGCGGAGCTCCTTCGATGATGGCATCCAGAATCTCCTTGTATCCATCAAAATCAAACACGGTAAGAAAACCCAGCGACCCTAAATGGAACGATAGGATCGGAGGGACTTTGTTCTAATGATCTTGTGTTATGCCAAAGCCAAAAACAAGAGTCAACCGACCTGAAAAAGCTATGCAGGAACCAGTCAGTGTCAACAACAAGACCCTTTAGGGACAGATCTTACATAGTTGGCAAACAGCACAGTTCCATCACCTCCCAAAGTGACAACCATATCTACGCTGTCGGAATGCTTTCTGCAAAACTCCTTGTTCCAAGATCCCACAGCACCAGATTCTATTCCACTCCTGCCATTCGCCTTCTTCAATGCATCCAAGTCCTTTTTCTCCAGCAAAACCTCAACTCCTTTGCCCACCAAGAACCGAGTAAGTTCCAACGTCTTTTCGCAAATGTCCTTTCCCGGCCGAGATACAACCACAACCTTTCGTAGAGGACTGATTCTAACAGCAGCCTTGCTGATATCCGTGAGTTCCCTCAGCAGTCTATCAAAGAGTCAGTCCAAACAGCCCTGTCGCATGGCACTGTACCTTGCTGAGGCATCCCCAGGCTTGGATTCCTTTGAGTTTCTGCTCATGCGGGACGAGGATGGAGCTGCCAATGGTACGGAAAGACAATGGAACGATGCCGTGCGTCCGAAACTGTATCGAGCGAGCTGGACAACTGGTCTGAGAATCCACATGCACTGAATTTGTCAAAATCCAAACCCGCGGTCAATGCATCATCTCCCCATACTGTCTTTATATAATACTGTTTAAACGAGCCGTTCGCGGCAATCCTTGGCAAACTGTAGAATGGCTTTGGCATTCTCCACATGCAGTCGAGCCCCTTCGCCGCTGTGGTGCCCCTCGAGCCAATCCACGAGCGCAGACGCTCTCCTGATCCCTTCATTGGCAAATTCACGAGCAGCTCCCGTGTTGGAAAGAAGAGGAACTTGACTTGACGGTGACACCTGATCTCCAGAAGAGGAAGACGCTGGAGCTAGAGTAAACCGCGCGACCGGCAAAGAGTTCCAGCCGTTCATCGTCGCGGCGGCAACTGCCGTGGCCGAGATTTCCTTGCCTTCGACAATTTCGCTCACAGTCATAAAACCGGTGCTTTCTAATGCAGCAGGGCGGTTTTCCATTTCTATTGCCAGGTCTGCATAGTCCTGAAATGTGAGAATGGGTTTGTTGGCCGTCTCCTCTTCGCAACGTGCATACTGTAATGGATCCATGATGCTGGGCATATGCCTCGCGAGTGCCTCGAACGTCTGCGGGAGCTTGAGCTCAACGGCTATCCCCATTGGTTCTGCGGCGTTGGAGGAAGCAAGCATTGATATCGAAGCATGGATTTCTGATGATACCACCGGAAGGATGCCTGTACGGAACCATGCACTCGTTATGCAAACTTGAGATATCTCTGACCAAGCCTTTCCTACAAAGTCCGTCATCACTTTGTGCGTGACGGCACGGTAAGCTCGACGGTGCTTTTCATCATGCCTCAATACAGGGTTGTTCGCCAGAATCTTGTCGCATTCATCCTTATAAAATTCAAGCAAAAGCTTCTTGTAAACAATCTTGAATCTCTGGGCGATACCAGCCTCGATAGGATGAAGGCCTTTGGTCAGAGACATTGGAAGGTAGTGGAGCTGAATGTGTGACAATGACGGTACACCTTCTCCACCAAGTGGATAGTGGTAAGGAGAAGTGTCTACCACCATCAAAACGCGACGTCCTGCTTGCTCAAATGCCCTGTTGCATTCATGGAGCCAACTAGACGCGAAAAGTTGGTCAGCATTTTTAATTGAGACAAAGGCTCATGTGTGGTTACTTAAGAAAATATCCAGTCTTCATCCAACCGTAATCATTGAACCTATAATCTGAGAGTAATGTTCCAGCTTCAACTCCCTCGAGGGACTCCGGAGACTCTTCGGATCCGATGACGAGAGGCCACAGCTTTTGTGTTCCTTCAGCATTCATGCACAACAGAACAGATATCATGGCTAGCTCCTTTTTGGCTTCTGGATCCAAAGCCTCAGCCTGCCAGGCTGTTATTCTGAATTTATCATGCCAATGAGAATATGAAAAGTCTGGTTTGTACTGACAGTTCAGGTTTGGGTCTCATTCTCCAAAAGAGCCGAACTTCGCTGACGCAAAATACGTTTGACTGCGGAAAATATGATAAAGCTTCACGCAACCGGAGCTTCTCTTCATCGACGTTTGGGTTTCCGGCACTAACTTCCGCTGACGACCTATGTGGTCTAACGTTTGCTCTCTTTTTATAGTTTGCCAGCCATCCATGCGAAAGTGAGCACTCCAAGCTTGCAATATTGAAGATATCTCTGAATCTCTGGATATCGCCACAACAAAGAGTCAGGTTATCATCAATATCTTTGCTCTCTTACCTTTGCCTGTTCGAGCAAAACACTATCGCTGACCTGAATCTTGTCATGGTAACAATCATGATGCCAGAGAGTCAAGGCAACATCAATCTGCGGCCACTTTCCTGTGCGATGGCGTTTCTTGGATTCCAAACCCATTTCTGGGGGCACTTCATAGCGGTCACGCACTTTCAGAATCTCGGCAATGGTGGCGCGACCGCAATTGTATTTGACGGCCAATTCCTTTTGGGTCGGCTTAGGTGTACGCTGGGCATCCTGGCAAATCAGGTACTTTTCCATCAGGCTCAGCTGCGTTCTCTTTTGTTTCTTTTTCGGATTTCCATCAGCTTCATCTGCCGTCCGTCGAGCCGGCACTTGGTGCAGGTATTGCCGTGGTGCTGTGACAGTGCTGGAGCCTTCTCCTGCATCCACACGCACTTGACTTGCACCAGCAGCAGCAGCAGCCGCAGCCGCAGCAGTGGCATCCGACCCAAACAGTTGCGAGGATACTCTCAGGAGCCGGTCTTGGAAAGAGTCTGTAGAGGAGTTTTGGCTGCCTGGATCTTCCAAAACATCTTCTGGTTGGAGTCGCTGTTGGAAAGAGTCGTTGTTGGTCGCTGCCATTTTCACCCTGTCTTCCCAACTGTCACACAAGGGAATAGATAAATTTCAAATTTCGAATTTCTTCCGTATTTTGAGGCGTCTTGCCAAGAGGGGATCCAGATACAGTCGCCTCGCACTCATCACAACCTCACCCGTCGAAACATCACAATGCGTCCCATCATCTCAACATGCTGCGGTTGCGTCAATCTAAAGTCTGGCGCTGCCATCGTCGGAGTCATGGCCTCCGTAAGTTTCTCCAAGGGGAATTAGGGTTGGACCAGGGAAGAAAGGGGAGGATGGATCGATCCATGTCGCCACCAACCGCCACCAAACGATGCATTTGCGAGATTGAGGATCAAACAAGAATCATTAGGCTCACTTTCATCCTCACAAACAGGTTTTTGGGCTCTGGACGGCCGGTGTCCGGCTTGATGGCACCACCTTCAACCTTTTAAAGTTCATCTTTGGCCTTGTTCTCTTCTTTGGAAGCTTTTTAGGGATAATGGCAATCGTAAAGGTTTGAATCTTGGCAGATGCATGCTTTTGTGTGGTATTGACATACTTGTCTCCCCCAGGAACATGTGGTTGGCATCATCTCCTTTGCAGCCTTTTTGTGTTTCACAACAACAGTGACGATAGCCTGGAAGATCTTTGAAATAGTATACATCTTCACGCCCAGCTTCGAAGAGGACTTTTTGAGTGAATGTGCCCTCATTGAAGGGAAGGATTGCAGAGCATCTCTCACAAGCCAACGGTCCATCTATGT